AAAAAAATTAAGAAAAAGAAAATTATAGAGAGACTGAAAATAGAATAAAATGAGCTGTCTTTTTCAAGAAAAAGAAAGAACATCATCATTTTGGCAAAGAAAAATTTAGTGCAATTTTAAAGGTATTTAAAATGTTTACAAGTATTTTACTTACTAATATCCATAGTTTATTCATACTGGATCTAAGGTCAGAATTGTCATTTACCATTTGTCTTAGCCGCACAACATTTGGTTTTAACATATATAAAAAAGAGATTTTATAATTCTAACTTCTGTCCTTCTCCAAAGTCGCAATGAAATCAAGCTTTAGAATGATATATATATATATATATATATATATATATATATATATATATATATATTTTTGCCAGTGCTCTTAAGTATATTACTAACCTCTCTAGATATAGCTTCTATTAACTAGTAACATAAAACAGACAGTTCTGTGTATTATATCTTATTTTTCAGCTTGTCTTCTGTGCTCACATTGACTTTGTGTTATGAGATTTACCTTTTCCTTTGCTTTAACTTTTTAGAACATTTTTCAATCTTTTCAGTGCTTTATACTCTAGTTTTCAATAAAATAGCTAGTAGATATGTATGTATCTCTCTCTCTCTCTCCCTTACAAACACACACACACACACACACACACACACACACACACGCACGCACGCACACACACACAAGATGGGGTTCTTACGGGCATAACCATATTCCATGAGTGAAATCATTTGTTAAGTAAAGGACTTTTTTTCTAATGATATTTTACTTTTCAGAGTTCACTGAAGGCCATTTAAAGTAACAGAAAATATTTTCTATTTCTTGAAGGCCTAACATGAAGTTTTCTTCTAGAAAATACTTCCAGAATCCATTTACAAAACTTTGCTAGCTGCCACATGATAACCGGAAACATTTTTTGATGGCCACTGCAAACCACACACTCTTTTATTTTCATTTCTCACTTCAATGTTCTCTTTCCAAAGACTAACTGTAAAGAAAAAAGAAAACAAAAACAAAAAACAAAAAATATCTCATGGGAGCATTGGTTTTATTTACTGTTTCATATACTTTCTTACTAAATCATTGTTTTGTTGTCATTAACTAATTTAAAGTGATTTTTGTTAAAAATCAACTGGGTTGGAGTTGTTGGAAGGTAAGAAAACAGTTTGTGTATAGCCTGCTATATGGCAAGCTATTACGGATTATCATGAATAAAATATATTACTTTTTTTTTTTTTACTACTTTTTGATGATAGAATTATGTCTAAAATATGTTCAATTTTCAATAAAATATGTTTATTTCAACAAGATGTGTACTAAGAACCCAATTAAAATGTGTGCAAAACATCAGAAAAGATATGTTACCAAACTAAACTTGCAGGTGACAGACATGTATGTATAACGGTGTTTGGCAATGCTGTCTAGCAGTTAGTTACAAAATAAAACAAGTACATATCACTGGGTGCATATGATAATGGCAAAAAACATATTTCAAAAAACTAACAAGACACTTTGAGGGAGTTTATTAAGTTAATATAGATTAAATACATGGTTCAACAACTTAACACTTAAATACAAACTTATTTCTAAGCAAATTTCTGTAGAAGAATATTGATATCATCCATTCTGATAAGTGTGCCAACTGGAAACATTTTTTTTTTTTTCTGAGACAGGGTTTCTCTGTATAGGCTTGGCTGTCCTGGACTCACTTTGTACATTGGGCTGGTCTCAAATCTGCCTGCCTCTGCCTCCCTGAGTGCTGGGATTAAAGGCATTCATGATCACGCCAGGCTCAAGTTGCCCTTTACCAGTGATTAAATTGTTTTAAAATGTGGTATGTTGGGGCTGGAGAGATGGTTCAGTGGCTAAGAGTGCTGTCTGCTCTTCCAAATGGAGCCAGGTTCAAATCCCCAACACCCACATGGCAGCTCACAACTGTTCTCCCAGTTCCAAGGGATCTGACACCTTCACGCTAATGCACATAAAATAAAAATTAAATAAATTATTAAAATTTGTGTTATGTCCATACAATAGATCATCGTACATCAATAAAGGCATCATCAAGCAAAATACTAAGCCACAGAGAACATTTGAATGTATACTTCAAGTTTAAATTTTTGTTTTTGAAATTTTCATACATGAGTATTGAATTTATACTATCTCCGTGCTCTGTTTTCCATTTTCTTCCATGTCACTCCCTTCAAATTCATGACTTCTTTCTTAGCTATTGTTACATGTGTTTATATAAATACAGCTGGTTGAATCCTTTTATTGTTATTTACAGCTGAGTAGGATTGGATAAACTTATGAGGAGGCTCATCCCTAAAGAAGATTGATTCTCTCCTTTTTAGCTGCTATTAATTGCCTGCATGTCCTCATCTTGTGGACAAGGCCTTGTGAGATTTCTTCCATCCTCATTGGTGTCACATTCATGTCACCTGGTGTTGTCGTGGTGCAGATCTTGTGTAGGCAACCATATTTTTGAAATTTCTTGAGTTCAGCTTCTCTATGATATACAGAAGACAATATAATAAATGAATAAATTAATAAATAATAATAAATGAATAAATTAATAAGTATTGTACTTCTTATGTGGAAGCTAATGTAAATAGAACTATGGATTATTTTTATTGTATTTATTTATTTTTTAATTTTTCTTCATTTATGGGTTTTTGTTTTTTTAATGTATGAGTGCCTTGTCAACATGTACACATACATGCCAGAAGAGGGCATCACATCTCTTTATAAATGATCATGAACCACTGTGTAAATGCTGGGAATTGAACTCAGGACCTCTGGAAGGGCAGCCAGTTTCCTTTTTTTCTTTTCTTTTCTTTTCTTTTTTTTCTTTTCTTTCCTTTTCTTTTCTTCTTTCTCTTTCTCTTTCTCTTTCTTTTCTTTTCTTTTTTTTTCTGGTTTTTGAAATAGGGCTTCTCTGTGTAGCCTTGGCTATCTGGACTTGCTTTGTAGACCAGGCTGGCCTCAAACTCACAGAGATATGCCTGTATCTGCCTACCCAAGTGCTGGGATTACAGGCTTGTGACACTGCACCAGGCCAGTCAGTTTCTTAACTGCTGAACCATCTCATACTGTCTTCTGCATGACAGGACTTATCATAAGTAATCACAGCAGCTGGGTTTGATGCTTGATCTCTGTTTCCATAGAAATGTTGCTTTTTTGTCTTTGAAACAAATACTTTAAGAAACATCAAGTTGTGAGGAGAACATATTTAAGACCACATTTCTAGAAAGCTTCAGTTCACAATGAGTTGGCTTCCCACACTGAGGCTCGTAAGGCGACTTGTGGAAAGAATGGCTCGCAGAAGACATCTGCTTACTTCATGGCCAGAGGAAAAACTCAGAAGGACTCCAAAAGCATGTCCCCAGCACCTAAAGGCCTTCCAGTAGGTCCTTCCTGCTTCCTCAAGTTTCCATTGTTTTCTAATAGTGCCATGCCACAGCAATACCCTCGTAGTATGGTGAATGGTAGTTTACTTTCCAGCAGGCAGAGGCTTTGTTGGAGCCACCGTCAGGCTTGCAGCTACAGAAGGGAAGAAGACCCTGCAGGTATTTCAATTTTAGTAATCAGGGAAAAGAGAAGGAAATAGAAGAGGACACCAAACACCTGACTAAATAAAAGAATGTCTGAGAGGGATATGACCAAAATGTAGGAAGATGAAGGTTGTGAGGCCTATCATTCTATACAATTAGTGATACAGATGGAAGAGAACATTAAAGACTTATGAAGCATATACTGTTGATATAGAAAATAAGTTGGGACTGAAAAATTATCGCCACTAGTAATACTGATAAGGGTGCTTGAGGTGTTCTGGTAGGAAGCTTTTACGTGCTTAGCTAGAATGGGTGTAAGAGAGAACATAACAGGTGGCATCACATGCAGAGAGCACAAACGTTTCTGGAGCTTTCAAATGGAGACAAAAAAGACAGCTGCTTACTGTGGTCATCCATTCGTGGGTTACAGAAGTATGTCATTTCAGTGACAGAGCTGTAACGTCATGAATGCTGTGTACCCCCAAAGTACAAAATGATTATTATCACGTTCTTTACAGAAAAGATGGATCAAATAAAAAGCATTTCTGTTCTGTGTTGAAAATCAGACTCGTCTACTTGCTCCTAACTTGGGTTCTTATTAGAATCATTTGTGAAGCTGTCTTAACACTCATATTTTAGCCCCTTACATTAATGAAGTCTGACTGGGCAGAAAGAAAGAAAAAAATACAAGTGAAAACTGATTTGAGAGACAGCATTGACAGTCAAGATGAAAGGTGTTTTTTTTTTTTTTCTTTCTAGTGAAGGAACACATATATATATAGTTATAATAACACTACATATAAATATATATATTTATAATACTATATATATTTGTAACACTATATATATTTGTAACACTATATATATAAATATATTTATATATTCCTGTCTAATCTGAGTGGGAAGACCAATTATTAGTCTTGTTCAAGATTTAAATTGTCATGAGGTCTTTGAGAGAAAATTGAGGAATAGAAAACTTGCATTATGTAAAATTTGGGAAACAGTCTTAAAGCAAAACTCAATCTATTAATATTTTCAAAGCGCAATTCTTAACTGAAAAGTGGGGAAGGTCAGGGTTCTGAAGAAACTTACTTGTAAAGCAGAATGTGTTGCAATAACTCTGGGGCCTTGGTCCACTGAGCTGGCAAGCACACTCTGCCACTGTAAATTCCTGAGGAAAATGTTCATTATGGGGCAAGGACGGCATAAATGAGGGAGTGTTTACTGTGGCCGCGCCACTGCAGACGGTTTTGCTGGAATGCCCTCTCTCAACTTAGTAGCATATTTCTGATAAAGAAAGGAAGTCGCCTCCACGTGAAACTGCTGTGTCATTTCTTCTTCCTCAACTGAAATTCCAACCAGAGTTCAGGAAATGCCCTAATGAGTGACTTCTCTTTTCTCCTTCCTCCACTAACTGGATTCCAAACAGTTCTAACCATGCATTACTGGTGAACAGATCCCTGGCTTTTGTGCTGGTGTGATGGGACGAGGGACTGTTATTTGGAGCTGTTTGTCGTGGTGAATCCAATCACTGCTGGTAGGTAACCAAACTGGATGGTTAATTTTCTGTACTTCAAACAAATATGAAAACAAGTTCAATCAATACCTGTTTTACTTTGATATGCGTAGCTCCCTTGTAATTATTGGTTTCATCTTGTGTGATAACCAGGTATCAGGATGTTCGCACAGGCAAATTATGATTTGCTCTAATGTAGATGAAATATCACTGGAATGCTATTAGTGTCTTATTTTAATCAAGATGTAGAAATCACTGTTTTAGTTTATAATAACCAAGGGAATTTGTTTTCCAGGTTAATATTCTCAGATATTTATTAAATTGAAATATCACTTAACATTTTATTGTATCATATGCTGTTTTATGAGTAAATGTTCATGTCCATTTACATTTTAGCAATGTCTATTTTAATGGTTTTTAAAGGGAAGACTATATAAGTTTTGTTTATAGCAGCAATTAACCCCAGACAGGATTTTAGCACGTGTTCTTTTCCCAAGGCTAGACTATGCTATTCTTTTTGTACACATATAAATCTAATTATTTTGGTGAGGAGACTTCAAGTACACTAAACCAGTAACTTTTAAAGCAATAAATTTAAATTGAAACAAATAAGAATTACTATTATGTCTTAACAATTAGGGCGGGGTTATTTTTCTATATTTGCACAAACATGAATACAGAAGTGTAACATAGGTATATGTATAGGCCTTATTTGTTTCTCTGATTATTCCATATTGTCAATGCTATCTCAGGGATTTCATTATCAATAGACATTTGAGAACAATAATGAGCCTGAGGCAATATTTAATTTTGCTTGAGTAGTTCATTGGTAATTTATTTACTAGACACTTCATTTAGTGACAAAGAGCTTGCAATGGCCTTGACAATTTTTTTTCGGTGCTCAGAGGCTATGTCAGCAAAGCAAGCTGAAACAGAATGGAGAGTTCAGCAAGATCATGAGAGAAGGCTGCTTCACTTGGATCTTACCTGAAACTGATTGTGGCTAGACCCTTTCAAGCAGCTTTTGAATTAAATCTTCCCCATGTTTGGTGGAAGCAACCTTAAATAGGTCAGACTTGAGGTTTACACTTGAGTGTGTAAAGAAACTTTTAAAGCCACGAACTCAGAGGAATACATATACTATCCATTGTCTCTTTCCTGGGTTTTGATTTTTACTTTCTCATCTTTGGTTTTCTTGAGAGGCAGCAGTATAGTATAGCAGATGAGTACATTTTTGCTGAACTGAAACTTAGAACTGATGTCAAAAGCAAAACAAGATTTTTAGAAATTGGCTCTATTTAGTGTCTTAGACCTGAGTATTTAAATTCTAGCTAGCCAAGATACTTGCAAGATGTTTGTGTATAGTGCCAAACTATCACAAGCACACTTTTTAGGAATTGTGGTGATTTGCACAGCAGAGGTAGAGAATGATTTAAATAACAGAGCAGAGCAAAACAATCAAACAAACAAACAAACAAAAACCCCAGTGGCTTGAACAGTCAGAAAGGCTAAAGGACGGAAAGGCAAAGACGGAAAGAACAGACTGTCCTTACACAGTGGTTGCAACACACGGATGAAAGCTGCTTCGAATGGAGTCATGTAAATACTGACGGAATGCCTGTGCAAATCCTGGAAGTTCATCATTTCCACCTGTGTACAACTAAAGCCATCTCAAGTCAATCCTGCCAAGTTCTCAGGGAGATCTTACAGTTAAAAACAACCAAGACAACGCCAGGTTACGGAATGTAGTGTTGGCAAATCCAGAAAAGGGCAAAGTTTACAAACAAATTGCTGTTGTCACCTTGATGTTTGCAAATGTCCTGTTGCTAATGAATACCTGTTTGGCAACAAAGCAGCTGTAGACAGTAAAATATGTTGTTACTCAGGTTTCACGGGTAGTATCTATGATGACCTAACAGAGGAGACATAAGTCAGTAAGTATGGCTGAGGAACAAAAAACAATAAAACCAATGAAGACAAGATAAAAGTAGATTTGTGGGAGAGAGAGAGGAGAAAGTGAGAGCATGAACGAGAAATGAATCTACGAAACTTTTATTGGCACAGTGGTGAATTACAAGCTAGTAGTCAGTGGAGGTGGGTGGCAGGTGTGTGGAGATGTCTTAGCATTTGGCTGATCTCCCCGGCCCCGGCTTGTGAGTATAGTTGAGAGCTGGTCTTGTGATTCTGTGAAATTAGATTCTTTGGGACATGGGAAGTCCTGGCCATTTCAGACTAAAACAGGAGAATTACAGAATGGAGGCAATTTAGATTATAAAGTAAAACAATAGGGAAAGGCAAGTATTGGAAAGGTGAAAGGGTTATGCAGTTTCCTTTAGAGACCAGGGTTAAAAATAGACTTGCTGTTTGGCATGGGGGCAAATGCTTGTGACCCTGGCATGTGAGTGGCAGAGGTGGGAAGATCATGAGTTCAGATTCCAGGTCAACGTGGGAAAATCGTGAGTCCCCGTCCTCAGGGGGAAAACTCTTGGACAGAAAGCCCTGGTTACTGATTTTTTAAGATTGCTCCCAGAGAAAACAGCAGATTGAGCCCTGTAACCTTAAAGAGCCATTAGTTTCACTTTTTTTTTTTTAATTTGTTCAGGATTAAAAGAAAAGGTGAGAATTTGATGTAAAAGTTTCACATGATGTACATTAACGAGACTAGAGGTGAGGTAATAAAAGGCATTCCAGGAGATAGAGGTGGTCCTCCCGTCGAATTCCAATATTCTCATGTCCATTTCTGACTTACCTTGAAGGTTTTTTTTTTTTCAATCACGTCTTATGTTTATTGAAACATTCTTTAGCCCGCCTAATGAAGACATTATGTTTATGTTCTAGCTGCTTCCGTTAGACCAGACACTTCTGCCCAGCCTTTGACTTCCTCCATTATTTTTTTTTCTTATGCAAGCATGTTTCTAGTGCTTAGAAGACTGTGTGCGTGTGGATAAATATTTGGTTTTCTTAGTACTCAGACCCAAATAAGAACGGGAGCCAGGATTTTCTACAGAATTAGGTATTGGCTTTCCTGTCTGATGTATGTTTGAGCATCTTTACACAATAGATCAGGACCTGAAATACTGGAGATGGCTATGGGTGGCATACAGTTCTCTTTGCTTAGAGGTTCTACAGATGCAGATGTTTTTGGAACTACTGGACCACATCTTGCCAACAGATGGTAGACGGCAATTTAACGCCTAGATTTTAAACTTTAAATCTAGATTTCTCCTTAATAAATTTTAGAGAACAGGCGTTTGGCCCTTTGACCATCCCCTTGGATGTTTCTCTCTAATTTGAAAAATTCACCTTTCTTCTTCTACAATTACAATTTGCAGGTAATTTTCTGGCAAGGGATGATTTATTCTTTCTATTAAAATTGTACTTACCTACACATATAGACGTTTTAAATTTTTTTTTTTCAACTAGGATCATACAAGCCTTTTACATTTTTCTCAATATTCTCAAGTTATAAGCATCAGTCTCTCTTTTCTTCTTCTTTTTAACTGAAAACAACCATTGCTTTTGTGCCTTTGAGAATTTCTTGTGAAAAGTGCCTTATAAAATGTTTGGGAAGTCTTGGACATACCTACTCTTACACTGAGTAGAAAAAGCCAGCAGATGAGTCTGCGCAAAGTGTTTACAATGACACCATCCTCTAAAGAAGTTGGAGACCATGCCATTCAAGCTAAGTTAACATCTGCAAATTTAGTTAAGTTGAAGGTATATAGATAAGTAGCTAGATTCTAGAATGCTGCTAGAATGGTCTTATCTGCCAATAATCAATTCAGGACAAGTGCTTTATTAAAAGTGTAGATGAATTTCCTGTCAGTATGGAAGTATGAGAAGATCATAAAAATATGAAGGCTAAAGTGTATCTTGAAAACTGATTGTTTTCTAGATAGACAAACAATAAAAGAAAAGTTTTAAACCAAAACTTTACATATGCAAAACATGACACACAGTTTCCTTTAGAGCTTGGGGCCATTGTGAGGACTAGCAGGAAGGAAATGTGGAGAGATAAGGTGGAGACAGACCTTGAAAAGCTCTGGTAATTTTAAACTTGGATGATCTTGATGAGGGAAGTAGCTTAATCTGATCATGCATTAGCATCAGTATCTCCATGACCTCTCTGGCTCTAGATATCTAGAGAGATTAGAAGCTAAAAGACTGGCTGGCTTGTTTATGGAGCTATACTATGCCTGCTTTAACCCATTTGGAGGCCCAGTGCAGAGAGGGAGAAATGAACATGACTTTTCTTCCTTAACCAAGAAAGTCTTTCTAATTCACATCTGCTTGCAAGGGAAAAGGTAGTTTCTTCCATTGAAGTGTCACTGGGCATATTAATCACGTAAGTGAATGTTCTATGCCCAAGCAGTGTATGGTCAAAACAAAATGAACTCCATGGTATTTCTTGTAGATGTTTTGTCTCATATTGCTATGCTAGGGTAGAGTTTTGTTTGTCTTTGTGCTTTCGTCTTACTGGTGCTTGGCTTGTATGTTACAGTTTCTGGTTTCATGTTTTTACAGTGTGCGTGCATGCGTTTGTATGAGCACAGTGTTTCTTGTGTCTTTTTCTTTCCTTTTTTTAATTCTGTAATTTTTTTCCATGGAAGTCTGTGCTCTAAAAAAAGAGAGAAAAAAAGGGGATGGAGTTGGATAAGTGGGTCTATGGAAAGGTGGGTAGGCTCTGGGAGGAATTAAGGAAGGGCAAACCAGAATATGCTAATTGAAAAAATCTTTTTTCAAAAAAAGTTTAGAAAAACTATGATGAGTGGTATCTCTGGGCCATATTTTGCAAAGATGTGTGTTGTTGGCAATCAGAGAGCACATTGCTGAGCACATGAGAGACCCCACCTCAGTAGAGGATTGAAAGTGTTATGCGGTGACAGTTCCTAGAGCAGGAAGTCATTTATGTTGACAATGATTATCTCTCCAACAAGTTCTTCCAGCAAACACATGATTCAGTGATTTCTCTGTGGTTGCCTGGTGTGGAATCGGTGGAACACACAGTGAAATAGGAAGTC